TCTATTGTTTGGTTAGAAGCAATGGGGATGAGTTCAATTCCAGGCCTGAAGGGTGACTAAGGACCAACCAGTGTCTTGGGGGTCAGTGTTTTGCAGCAAGCTGTAGAAGAGGCATTGTGCACCCTGAACAGCTAGAGTTCCTTCCTAGGAAATACACTCAGCATTTTAGCATCAAGCTACCATAGTTTTGAACTGTGTCTGTGAATGTTATATGTTACTGTTATTTTAGGTCTTATTTGTTGTTTGATATGATTTGATAGGCTATTTTTTGGCTCTGAGAGCACTCACAATTTTTCCATATAAATGAACGGTCTACTTCTTTGCTTTATACCATTTTGCTTACAAAAGTTTTCACAGGAATGGTCTGCTTTCAGATAACAGGGGGGAAACCTGTATAAATTCTCACTGAGGACTGAGTGAACTATCCATGATCACAGAATTTTCTTGCCACTTGTAATCACCTTGTAAAACCACTCTTTTGAAAGCCACTGCTTTTGCATCTTGGCTTTCCTCCAACACTGAAAGGCCTATTTGGAAAGAAGGGCTTCCTTTTTTGATGATTCCAACCCAAAAATGATTCAGAACTGGTATATCCCAGAAAGAAACACCACACAAAATTTGCAAATCTTTCTCCTTAAAGTCACTCATCTCATTTACAGCATCATGGCTAGAGTCACTTAAAGCACTCTCTTCTGCTTCAAATTCTGCCATTTCCATTCTTCACTCTTCTACAGAGTGCATGCTAGCATCAGGAGAATCAGCTTTCTCAACAGGAGACAGATGAGCAATGTTTGCTGATGAACCCTGGCCATCATCCAGTCTTCTGACATATTGAAGCATGGATCCAGTAGGTGATTTAATTCTTGTCTCTTTCCCTCCCTTTGCTGCCATCCACTTGGCCTCTTTGATTTATGCACTCTATGTGGCATGATAGAATATCACTTAAAATTAAAACAAAGATAAATTATCAATATTTGAAAAAAATAAAATGTAAATCTATTGGATATTTTACTTCTATCAAGTGCAGGTTTTAATGTGTCACTATTTTTTTAAACCACTAGTTGAACTTAAAACTTGGAAATTTCCTTAAAATCAGATATGTTCATCCATATCAGGAGGTGGCATATGAACAAGAACCAATGGTACTGAAGGAAGAATTAGAAGCTGCACTGAAGGAAGTGGAAAAGAACAGGCTCCAGGAATTGACAGAATGCTCCTTGAGATGTTTCAGTGAATGGATGCTGCATGGGAGGCACCCACTCAGCTATGCCAAGAGATTTGGAAGACAGCTAGCTTATGAACTGACTGGAAGAGATCCATATATGTACCCATTCCAAAGAAAGATGATCTTATAGAATGTGGAAATTATTGAACAATATCATTAATATCAAGTAAAATCTTACTGAAGATAATTCAAAAATGTTTGGAGCAATATATTGACAGGTTCCAGAAATGCATACTGGATTCAGAAGAGGATGTGGAATGAGGGATATCATTGCTGATGTCAGATGGATTGTAGCTGAAAGCAAAGAATACCAGAGAGATGTTTACATATGTTTCACTGACTATACAAAAGCATTATATTGTGTGGATCATAACAAGCGGATAAAATTGAGAAGAATGGGGAATTCCAGAACTCTTGATTGTACTCATGAGGAACCTGTGCATAGATCAGGAGGTTGTCTTTCAGACAGAACAAGGGGATACTGCATGGTTCAAAATCAAGAAGGGAGCATGTCAAGGTTGTATCCTTTCACCATACTTATTCAATTTGTATGCTGAGCAAATAATCTGAGAAGCTGGATTATATGAAGAAGAAGGTGGCATCAGGATTGGAGAAAGACTCATTAACAACCTGCAATACTCAGATGATACAACTTGGCTTGCTGAAAGTGAGGGTGACTTAAAACACTTACTGATGAAGATTGAAGACTACCATCGGCAGTATGGATTACGCTTCAATATAAAGAAAACAAAAATCCTCACAACTGGTTCAATAAACAGCTTCATAGTGGATGGAGAAAAGATTGAAGTCATCAAGGATTTCATATTGCTTGGTTCTACAATCAACACCAATGGAAGCAGCAGTCAAGACATCAGATGACATATTGCATTGGGCAAATCTGCCGCAAAAGATCTTTTTCAAATGATGAAGAACAAAGATGTCTCCTTGAAGACTAAGGTGTGCCTAACCCAAGCCATGGTATTTTCAATCACCTCTTATGCATGTGAGAGCTGGACAATGAATAAAGAAGACTGAAGAAGAGTTGATGCTTTTGAGTTGTGGTGTTGCAAAAGAATGCTAAGAGTACTATGGTTTTAGTCCATGATAAAGAAGAAATAACTACAGTGAAGCTACACTTAGTAAATCAATGAGTGAAGTGACAGGAAAAGAAGGAGCTCATCAGTGTGTCATTTTTCTTATGAGCTCAGTAAGCCTTCTTTTCAGGCATTTCCATACTCTGTTCTGCTTACTCTTACATGATATCATACTACATAATCTTACATGCAGTCAATAAATATGCTTTCTATTGACATACTAAAAGGAGCTCTGGTGCAGTGGTTAAGGCATTTGGCTGCTCACCAAAGGTTTGTGGTTCAAAGCCCCCAGCCACTCTGTGGAAGAAAGATGAGGCAGTCTACTTCCATAAAGATTTATAGCCTTGGAAACCCAGTAGTGGTCACTGTGAGTCAGAATCAAGTCAATGGCTGTGCTTTCGGTGTTTTTATTGACATACTACTCTCATTAAATGGCTAATATTTTTTGAATCTCAAATCAAGTATATATAGTGTGTTACTGTTTTATTACCCAATTTAAGTTTAGGAAAACGAAGGCTTAGAAATAAAATGACTTTTTTCTAAGGTGAATTTTGGAATCAAAATCTGGTTATCTTGAGTCCTATGTAGTATTACATTTGTTTCACAATTTCCTTCCCCTGTAAGCACTTTATGAACCTTCACAAATAATGACTCTGTGCTGGTAGATTATCTATGTTAAATGAGCTAGAGAGTCTGTGGTAAATTCTCATGAATGTGGGCATGAGACCTTGGTCAGGAAAATAACTTCTAATTAAAGTTGTTGCTCTTGTTGTTATTTGCCGTCGAGTCGGCCCTGACTCATAGCGACCCCTCCTTGGGTTTCCGAGGCAGTATCACTACGGAAGTAGGATTGCCCAACCCTCCTACCGAGGAGTAGCTGGTGGGTTTGAACCGCCAGCCTTCTGGTTAGCAGTCAAGTGCCTTAGGCACTATGCTACCAGAGCTCCTTCTAATTAAAGAGAACATTATATTTAATTTTCATTGTTATTTCCTGTTATATTATTACTTACCTTTTCAAGGTACATGTTTTTCACAAATGTTGAGTTCAGGCTGACTTCTTTCATAATCTTCGTAGTACCCAGTAGTATTAATCAGTTTATACTGAGGAAGGCCAATGTATTTATGTGATTCATTGTAATTTAATGTAGTGGTGTCAGTGTATACATTTTTGCAGAGACATAGGAGAGAGATTAATTATTTGAAATACTAATTCTATTTGCAGATCACATGTGAAAGAAAATGAATTAGGCATATACTGGAAAACAAATAATTTTAAGTATAAAATATAATGTCTTCTAAGAGTCCGTTACTATTATATTTTTGATGTGGATTATTGAAGTTAGTAAATCACCTACTGTTTCTCCTAATATTGTGAGTTATAAATTTCAGTAAGATTAAAAACAAACTTTCTGTATTTAAAAATATTGAGTGGGATGGATAGACTACATACATCAGGAACACAGAAGTTATATTACCTCTGTGGACTCTTTGGTGAGCTGGTGAACTGTTTCTGAAAACAGCTGTAAAAGAGGTATTATGAGAAAGATAAGGACATTGAGAATATCCAAAATCATATTAAATATATTTTATGTGCATCATTACTGTGTTGTTCTAATAGGGAAAATAAATAATTATCCAGTGAGTTATCCAGCAACTCTTCCTTTTCACATTTAAGAATTATGAAGTGATTGAGGTGAAAATACTATTCTACTTTTAGATTTCAGCAAAGTACTTTTTAAATCTATCTGATTTGATTACAATGATTAAAAATGAGATCTTTCAAAGAAAGATAACATAGAAAAGTCTTTTTAATACTGAGGTCATCACATTTTCATATAAAATTTATATATTATATCATGATAGGTAGAAATAAAAAGATTTACCCAATGTATGAAATTTGACTATATACAAATATTACCGCATTTCTCAAAGTTTACATAAATTTCTTGACTCCATAGATCAGTGTGAAAAGCTTACTGATCTAAACTGGTTATATCTTCTTTTCATTCAATTTCACTCTGCCCTGGAATAAATGTTTAACAAATAAAGAGAAATGAGTAAGATTGTGCTGTCTGTTTTAAATTACTTTAATTTGTGCTTCTCTCTTTGATGTATCATGTTAAAAAAGTAATCCTATTAAATATTAAAGAACCTTTAATTCAAGTACTCCTGAACAAAGAGTAAATTGGTTCACATGGTGCTTATTACAATCACTGTCATATAGATTGTATTGTCCTGCATCAAATACACATAAATATTTGGATGGCTTCAGAAACATTTCATATAGAAAATCTATATTTGTACATTATTATTTAATGTACAAAACATTCTATGCATAAAACCATTCATTAAGGTCTATGTTATCTGAGCATTAGCTGTGAAAATACAAAACTGGATAACCAAAACAGTTTACGTAGTACCTGAGAATAAATTCATTATCTTCAAGTTCATATTTATCTCCTCTTTGTATTATACTTCAAACAAAATAAAAATTCTTACTAATTATTTTGCCAGAAGATATTCCAATAAATAGAGGTTTGAAAGAGCTAAGTAAAATGATTGTAATAGTGCTTGCACCCACAAAAGGTTTGCAGACAAGAATATTATTATCTCTATGATCTAGGGATTACTTGTCTGACTAAAAATTAAGGACAATTAGAGGACATGTCCCATTGCCTTATTTACATTAACATTCTTCTATGTTTCCAGTTCCTTTTCATTTTTGTAGATTCATGTTCAACTCTCATGAGCTTCTTCAGTGCATCCTTCATGTCCTTATTCCTCAAGGTGTAGATGAGGGGGTTAAGACTTGGAGTGACAATGGTGTAAAAGAGGGTGAGGAACTTGCCCTGGTCCTTGGAGGCACTGTTACCTGGCTGCAGGTACATGTAGATGATAGTTCCATAGAAGATGGACACCACAGTGAGATGAGATCCACAGGTATTAATGGCTTTTCTTTGGCCTGCTTTTGACTTCATTCTCAGCACAGCTTGGGCAATGTAGCCATAGGATATAAGGATAAGGAGGAGGGGTGTAAGGACAATAACAATGCCTAAAGCAAAAATAGACATTTCAACTGTTGTGGTGTCTACACAAGCTATCTTGATCATTGCTGGCAACTCACACAAGAAATTATCCAGAATGTTGTTTCCACATCTAGGCAAATTTAGTGTGAGTGTACATAACACCAGAGAATTAGTGAAACTAATGCCCCAGACCAAGATAATCATCTTGAGACACAGATGTGTGTTCATGATTACCAAATAATGCAGAGGCTTACAAATAGCTGTAAAACGATCATAGGACATAACAGCCAGGAGAAGACATTCAATGGATCCCAACCACATACAGACATAAAGTTGAATGACACAACCCACATAGCTGATGGTCGTATTTTGTCCCCACAAGTTAACCAGCATCTGAGGTATGACGCTGGTGGTGAAACAGAGATCTAGGAAAGATAAATTCCTGAGGAAATAATACATTGGTGTGTGCAGATGGAAATCCAAGAGAGTTGCAAGAATGATGGCTGTGTTGCCCACCAATGTAATCAAGTAGAAGATAGTGACAACACATGACAGAATCATCTCCAATTGGGGATGATCAGAGAAGCCAAGTAGAATAAAACCATGAAGAGAACTATAATTGCTTTGATCCATAGTTCTTCAACGTCTAAGTCCTAAAATGAGAAGAAAAAGAATGAAGAAGATGAGAAGAATAAAGGTGGGAGCAGAGGAAGAAGCAAAGAGGGAGGGGGAGGGGAAGACGATGGGGAGAAGGAAGAGAAGGAGAAGAAAAGGAGATACATGTCAACCCAGACTGGCTCTAATGAAATACTAAATAAAGGGAGAGAAGTTATCATCATAATTTTAAAAAGTGATTGGATAGAAAATATTGTAGTGAGGTAGCCTGATATTTGTATGATGAGAAGTTTGGTATTCCAAAGTTTATCTAGGTTATCTTCAGGAGTTCACTTTTAAACTTAAGATCTGAATTTTCTCCCAAGTAAGTCTCCAAATTTGGAATCAGTGTGGTGACCCTATGATTCTCTCCAAAGCTAGTAGGTTGAAACAATGATGATATTCTTTTACTTGGTCAGAGAATTCACTTATAAAATCTATTGGCTAGTGTCTGAATGAGGAACTGTGTTCCTCCTTTTCTATGTTTTGGTGGAGAACATCTTTGATCTCCAGCTTGTTTTGTAAAACATCTATTGTTTTTCCTTGACATCTTCATCTCCTTTATCCTCAATACCTAACTTATCACCAATATTGGTAAATTCGAATGTAAAAATATATGTTAACTATTCTTTCACTTTTTAGATTTTCTACCACCACTAATCTAATCCAAACACTTCCATCTCTCTTCCAGATTCTGGTTATAGTCTTTTATTCTTACATCCAGTCTTATATCTTTATATGATTACAAGGTTTAATAAAATTATATCATCTGCATGTTTATAAGTTGTCAGAGACTTTCCGTTGTACTTATGAATTATTCAATTTTTTTTTAGTTGGTTGAGATGGACCTGTATGATTTGGTTCCTACCTAAGCTTCATTGTCATCTCAAAATCATTTTACCCATATTCACTATGAGTCTTCTCTGTGTTTTTTACAGGTCAAGCTCATTCCCATCAAAATCCTCAGAACTCTTTCTTCTTTGGGTAATTCTTACTCAAGCTTAGGCCATCAAAGAAATGTTATTATGTTATGTGCCATCGAGTTGGCCTGACTCATAGTCACCCCTCCTTGGGTTTCTGAGGCAGTATCACTACAGAAGTAGATTGCCTAACCTTCCTTCTGAGGAGTGGCTGGTGGGTTTGAACTGCCAGTCTTCTGGTTAGCAGTCAAGTGCCTTAGGCACTATGCTACCCAAGCTCCTATCAAAGAAATAGTTCCTGCTTAAAGAAGAATTTCCTTAATCTACAATTTCTTTACTTTATATCTTATATCATGTTTCAGGAACTCCTACAGATAGCCAGTATAGCTTGGAGGTTCAGAACATAGTCAGAGAACTCATGTTCATGACTCATCTCTGCCTATTAGTTAGCTATGATCCCAGGCAAGTTACCTAGCCTTTCTGGGATCAGAAATCTCTAAAACTGGCACAATAAAAATACATAGTATTTAGAGAAAAATTAAATGAATAATATTTTCAAAGTGTTTAGAATAGTGCTTGTAACATAGTGTGTTTCAATGATAATTAGTTACAAAAATTATTATACCAATAACTTATAATAATGTACCATGTAGTTAAATGTTTGTTTAAACCTTCCCCCATGTTAGTCTATAAGCTTTGAAAGTACACAAGAAGACTAGTATTCTTAGTCCATCCCTGACACCTAAAATAAGCCTAAAATATATGTAATTTTTAAGAAAATGTTTATTTAAGTTACACTATGAATATTGATTAGAATCACATCAAGTTCTTAGCTAATTTTTACATTAAAATCTTAAATTGACATCTGGTGAAGTTACCTGAATGGGGTGGCAGAAGGAGAGAGATAAATGAAAAAGATTGTGGTTTTATCAATGAAGTAATAAATAACCAATTTATTCAATTTGATAAAAAATACTTTAAAGTATTAGTATCTATTTGAAGGACTAAGAACCCTTGTCTTCTTTAGTGGTACAATACTGATACACTTCCTCTAGTCATGCATGTACATACCAGAACTGATGAAATTTTTAATAATTTAACAGACTCACTAATCTGCCTTTAGTTTCTTCTCACACAATATGGGAGCTCTGGTGGTGTAGTGCCTAAAGCATTTGAGTGCTAAACACAAGGCTGGCAGTTCAAACCCACCAGCCACTTCTGGGAAGGAAGATTGGGCAATCTACTTCTGTAGTGATACTGCCTCAGAAACTCAAGGAGGGGTCACTATGAGTTGGATCCGACTCAACGGCAGTGAGTTTTTCTTTTTTTTTTTAATCATACAATATAAAGAGATAACTTCTTACTATCTGAAGCAAAAATACTATCTAGAAAGGTTCCATTAAAAATTGCAAGCGAACATATTTTATTGAAAAATAATAAATATCAAAGGGGTATGTTTGTGTAGAGAAAATGCAAAAAGTTGTGATTTTTGTTTCTTATGTCATATCAAGTGTACTTCCTTAATATTACAAAAAAATATTTATTTCAAATTGTGGCCATAATTCATGTTCACATTCACCCAAACCAACTGAATATACTGGTTGAGACAGTCTTTCAAGACAGCAGTTGGGTGATTTCTTCAGATTTTTTCCCCCAAGAATAATGATTTGAGTCTGGTTTCCCCCATTGACCAAGATCGACAGAAAGAAACAACATAACTCTGAGAAATCTACCAGAAGCTCTCACACAACATTGGGGTTCTATGATATCTGAGCAATGTTGGATAAATGATATTTATTTCAACAGACTTAATTTGTAGGGGTAATTGTACCTAACTTCTGAATAATACATAAAACCATATTAAATTTAATGAATCTAATAATAATTTTATATTTAAATTAAAATTTTAAGTGAAATTTATATTATATAAAATTTCAATTCAGTTAAAATTTTATGAGTGCAAAATGAAGCTCCTTTTAAAATTAATGTCCATCCCATGTTGTTAATTCCTTGGTTATTTTCATTATCACCAAAACCCCAAAGATTAAGTCTAAAAAAAAACCAAACTCATTGCTGTCTAGTTGTTTGGATGCATAGCGACCTCTCCTTGGGTTTCTGAGGCAGTATGTCTTTGGAAGTAGATTGCCTAGTCTTCCTTCTGTTGAGTGGCTGGTGGGTTTGAACCACCAGCCTTCTGGTTAGCAGTCAAATGCCTTAGGCACTACATCATAAATCAGAAAGGAATAATAATAATAATAAAGCAGTACTGATAATTGAGAGTCTGCAAATAATTTCCCATGAATGTCATGAGAATTAAAAATGGCTCCAAAATTTCTGGATCCTTCCTAGCTTCACAGTCTTCATGCATAAAGCATATCTTAATTCTTCTTCTACCTTTTTTTTTTTTTTTCTTTTATTTCTACTGAACCACAATGTCAGAAATCACAAATAATGGTTTAGCTGCATGGCTTCCTATAATACAGTATGACTTTCATCTTTGTTTCAAGACATAAATAGGAGATTTTTTCTACAAAAATTTACATTATCTATTTTATCTCAGACTTCTGATAGAAAACAGAAAAATCAGACCATAGAAGTTTAAGTTTTCATTCTTCTATTTCTCACAAACTGTTTCCCCAACTCAGGCCCACTTTTCCTGAGAAATACTAAAGAGTTACATTACTGTGCTCCAGGGAGTCTCTTTGATGTTCCACTTTTCGACCCACGTAAAGCCCACTCTGAAGAAAACAGATCTGGGTTCAGCATTTGCTCTCCCGGCTGCAGCTCTCTCATGTTCCCTGCAGGGTCACTGTGAATTCTGCTGTTTTCCTGTTGCTTGTTAAGGTATGGATTCGCAGCAAGACTCCTCCTTCTTGAACATGTGACTCCAAGTAAGAAGATGAAACATACCCTAAAGTCTCACTACTTGTTCTGACTTTAAATCAATCTGCAAATAGGTCTTGATTCTAGACAAACTTGCCCAAAGTAATCAGATTAATTACAAATTGCCACTAGGTGGGCTCCTATCTCTACCCTTTCAGTTACTGAGCACTTTTTGCATTTGCACAGCTGTTGTTGCTATGTGCCTTCGAGCCATACCTGACTCATAGTGACCCCTCCTTGGGTTTCTGAGGCAGTATCACTATGGAAGTAGATTGTCCCATCTTCCTTCTGAGGAGTGGCTGGTGGGTTTGAACCACCAGCCTTCTGGTTAGCAGTCAAGTGCCTTAGCCACTATGCTACCAGAGCAAGTGACTCCAATTCAGAATCATAATTGAATGACATTTCTCAGTACTGCCTGGAGATCCAGATCATTAAGAAAGATTATTTGAGCCACCAGGACTACATCCAGTTGACTTCACTAGAGTAAATTACTGTAGAAAAAACCTCATGATACAAAACTGTAAGTCAGGGAAATAAGAAAATGTATTTTCTATTTTTTTTTTCTTCTCGGTAGTTACTGTATATTATAAATAACAAGATTTACTCTTAAAGTTCAATTCCAACACTAGAATTTTAACATACACTGATTCTGTAAGACAATCATACCATTACTAGTACACGGATTTTGGAAATAAATGTGCTCTGAGCAGATATGTAAACAAGGTACCTCTAATAGTTATTTTTGCACCCTAACTTTGACACCAAAGGTCTTTCTTGTCCATGAAAGAGAACATGTTCAGTCTCCAAAGCTATAAACAGGAAGTTGAAGATCATAATGAATTTCTATTTTTATTCAGTTCTAACATGCCTTTGTCTTGATGACCCTTCTTGGTGATTCAGACTCCAGTGCTTGTGACAAGTTTGTTGGTGACACTGAGTGGTCACTACTTAAATCCTAGCTCCTGGAGCAAGGTGTGCACTGATGATTGTTATCACTTGGTTTATGATCATTAACTTATAAGATAGTTATAATATTTTCCCTAAATTAAAGTTATAGATGACCAATATTAATAAAATACATAATCACTAATTGATGCCTCATGATACATGTTTACATGTGGATGACTTCTCATTACTGAGCGATGAAACAATTTTAACAATTTCCTTCTTCATGAC